TCGTGCTGGCCGGCGCGCTGTGCTGGGAGAGGGCACCCGTGTGCCGCTGCCGGGCGGGGGCACGGCGAGACCTTGCCCAGCCTGTAGCGGATGCACGCCTGGCTTGGTTTGGGGGTTTTCTCTGCGCAAACGCTGCGGGCAGTAAGGGTTTGGCTGCTCCTGTGCTACCCAGGCTCTGGTGAGGCCGGCGACATCACTGCCACCTGCACATGTCCCTTCGGGGGCTGCGGCGCTGGGGTGAGAAGAGCCCTTCAGAGGCCGTTTTGCGCCGTGCATGTACAGTCCACCCCATACAGCCCTGAGCCGCAGTCACTGCGAAACAGGCCATGTGAAATTTGGAACCCTGATGTTATTCATTTATTTATTTATTTCAGAAAACAGGTGAAGAAAAATAGCTATATGCAGGTAGACTGTGCTTTAAACCCGACGTGAGATGTATTTCTGCCTCAGAAAGACCAGGCAAGAGGGCTGACAGTAAGTGTGGAAGTCTGTCTGTGGGGAGGATCAGCTCCAAAAGCCAAAACGAGGTCACCTGAAAAAGGAATTTGTAAGATGCCTTTGGGGTGATAGACTAGATATGTAGCGAGGGATAACTAATTTGAAGTTTGAATCGAGCAGTGCTTTTTCTACAGTAACATATTTACTACATCAGTAGCAGACCTAATAAAAAAAGCAGGAAGTCTGATGTGAGCTGTGCCAACAGAAATTTTCCCGTGGCTGCAAGCCTCCGCCAGTTCCAGACAGGGGTACTGAGGCTGCCCTTGGTAGGGTTAGTTCAGTCCTAAGCGGTTGGGTGGGCAGGGAGTCAAGAGACAAATTAGGGAGCTGTGACTCCTAACCAGGTAGCTCTTTTGCCAGAGCACTGTCGCTGGTTGTCGGCTGTGTTTTCTAACTTTTAGTGTTTTCTGTTGAAGTACTGGTAAACAGAGAGGTTATCAAAGTAGTTTTTAAGCTTCTCTCAGGTACGTTATCTTGGTTTGGGTTTTTTTCCCTAAAAAACTGAGGTGGGTCAGGTTGTATGGTAATATGATAGTTGGATATTTGACAGGCAGTTAGGAATACAGGAAATTAGTGATTTTCGAAGTTGCTAATATCTAACACCTAAACCTGTGTTAGGCAAGAAATGAGACAGGTCACTTTATTGCTGTTTGAGCAACCATTGTTGGTTTTAATGTGTACAGTTCTTTATAGGTTTTGATAAGGTCATATACCAGTACTCAGATTTTCAGAGGAAGAGACTCACCTTTTTTCTCAGACACTAATCTGTGTAGATTTTGACATCTGTGTTTCACTGTCTTAAAAAAGATGGCCTCTGTTCTTCATTTGTTTGGTTTTTACTTCATTTGTTAGATTTAATTGCAGAAAAGAGTAAATCATCAACTACTCTTACTTCTTTCCAAGTTACTTTGATCACGATGAATAAACAGTGGGTTGTTTCACCTCTGTTTCAGTTTGGCAATATAGAGGGTGGCCTGAATGTTTAAACTGCTTCATTACAAAGGAAAATGAACTAAGAATATCCTGAACACTCTGGTTTCAGTAGCAGGAGCTCTAAGAAGAGAAACCTCCTCCGTTCTGTCAGGTTGAGAGGATTTTTAAAAGCCATAGGTTGTTTTTTTTTTTTACTGGTTTGATTTGATCCCCAAATGTATTTTTGTATGTTTTGTCAGGTTTACCAAAAACATTTTAATTTAAAGTAAAACCTTTAGCTTTTAAGCTTTCCTGTGTAGAGAATATTTCAGAGCTGTATGAGAGACTGAAGTTTCAGTATGTAATATTTTCCTACAACTGCTCCAGTTTTACTGGCTGAGACTGTGTACGGCCTCAGAAGGAAAGCGTGTGTTTATGTCACTGTGAAATTAAGACTACAGCGGAAGGTGATTGTGTCTAAGTAATACGATGTCTGCTTCTGTAGGTAGACTGGAATACAGCAAAGAGCTCCTTACATTAATAAGAGTGCTGCTTTGATATCAGGGTAAGGGCACTGATTGCCGTTCTGCAGCAGAGCTTTTGAGTGCAGCACTGATGCCTGTGTTAATCTGCAGTTATGGACTGCTGCTGAGATGTACTGAGACAGCACTGTACCTGAGAACAGACATTTCCAGCCCTCTCTTGTCGTTCACCCTTCAAGAACTGTAGGGGCGTCTGTTGGAGTGGATGCTTTTCTATAACATGGTGGTTTATACCACTTAGTAAATTATTCCTTTGAGTTTCTCTAGATTAAGGTAAGTTTTTCTTTGAAGCATTTTATTACTTGACATCTCTTCTAGAATTTGAACCGTAACTTTTTTTTTTTCTTTATTGTCTTAGCTGTAAAGGACCCTACGGCCGTAGAAAGGGCAAATTTACTGAACATGGCCAAATTGAGTATCAAAGGACTCATTGAATCGGCTTTGAGCTTCGGCCGCACTCTGGATTCTGACTACCCACCTTTGCAGCAGTTCTTTGTTGTCATGGAGCACTGCCTGAAGCATGGCCTTAAAGGTGTGGTAATTGCTCTAGCTCTGTATTTCTTATCCCCAACATGCCATTTTTCTTCCTTCTTTCTCAGATGAGATAAAATCAGTGTGTTATGTTGATTTAAGAAGTGAAAAAAATATGTAAACTGTCACCTCTTACAATTAACAGTGTCAGTATTAATATTTCACAACATACATTTCCATGCCTGTCGACTTCTTTTGTATCCCATTTGTTGTGAGCAGTCAGGGGATCACCACAACTGCTTGTATGTATGCAGCTTATGCTTGTAGCTAGTCATCCTTTCCATGTTATTTTGTTCTAGCACAGCAGTTTTATGTTCACAGCAAAGTAATTGGCGAGATGGCTTTGGATACTGGTGAGTGTTGAAGTTATCCGGAAGTCTAGACTCAGCAGTTAACCCATTTGTTGCATCAGCTGCGTTGAAGGAAGCTCCTCTGGTAATTTAAATTAATTCAGTTACTTGATTTTTCTTTTCCTAGTAAGAAAATCCTTTCTAAGTTACAATAAAACCATCTGGGGTCCTCTGGAACTTGTGGAGAAGTTATACCCAGAAGCTGAGGAAATAGCAGCAAGTGTCAGAGATTTGCCTGGCCTTAAGTAAGTAGTATTGGTAAAATACAGCAAGGGCACACAGGACCTGGCTGAGATTCTACAGATGTCTCATGATTTCATTTGGCATTAATCACGGCTTTAAACAGCTCACACGTGATGTTGAGGAGAGCACAGGTGAATCCTGCTAGCTTTTCATGATCCACACAAAGCAGCTAAAGAAGTGGGATTTTCATGTTCTTTTCTGATGTTTCTGGAGGAAAAGTTTTCTGAATGGTGGACAGAAACGATGTGAAAAGGACCAGGTTGTGTACCAAACAGCCTGCAGTGCTGAGCTGCAGCGCTGAGCTGCAGCAGAGGGTTGGAACTAGTGGGCAAAGGCTCTATGAAAACAAAAGGTTACATACTGAAGAGGAAGGCACTAGGCAGCTTTGCAGATTCTCGTGTGGAGGGTCCCTCTCAAATGTAAATTTATGCTGTGAACTACAATCTTCTCCCGTTCCTCTGCACTCTGCTTTTGTATTTAGCTTTATAATTGTCCGCACATCAAATTCCAGAAGGGTTTGGTTACCCTTGTGCCTGGTTTATGGGTTATAATTTGCAGCTTTAGACCTTGTCTAGAGCACATAGGTATATAAATTATCATTTATCCTTGTAAATGTGAAATATGACCATTTGCCAAGTGTGTTACACTCTTCCTATCCTCACACAGCACGTGGGTTTTGGAGCGGGGTGTTTTTGCATTTATGTGCTTACCACTTAGGTGTACGAGCACTAGACGAGGAGGATCTAAAAGTCCAGGTTTAATTTGTTGGCTGTTGATATTTGCCAGTTACGTACATTTTCATCTTCTTTCAACTGTGGTTCTAAGACACCACTGAATGTGTAAAGAAGTAGGAGTTAAGACTAGAATTCAGGACGTGCTGTGTAGACCCAGAGCATAGATTTGGAAGGCAGGCATGTGTGACAAGTTGTGATGGACGTTCAGTTGCTTTCCTCTCCATTCCTCTCAAGAATTCAGAAGCAAGTTGCAGAAAGGAGTCTGATTTTTTTGCAGACCTTTTGCTTCAGCTAGGGACAGGACTCTCAAGACTAGTGTTACAGGCACTGTCAGGTTAAGAGGAGGGGTCTTACGGGAAAACAGCACCACTCTTAAAAATTCTTATCATGCTGAGAACACAGCACAGTCACACACAACAGTCTGTAGAAAGTCGTGTGTTTTCACTCTGAGCTTTACAGTTTTACTGTCAGGCTCTTGTGCTCTCTGTATTCCTGTTCTTTCCGGGGTCTGCTCCCAAGCCCAGGTGAGCAGATGACAATTTTTCTGATAATCCCAAAGCCTGGAGTCAAAGCCTAGACATTATGGCTTCCCAGACTGCGTTACTCAAACTAATAGTTTAAAATATCCTTTCAGAAAACCAGTTGCTGTACCAATGGACTGATGTTTAAGACGCTGAGTTAAGTGATACGTTGTTGACTGGGGACTGCTTGTCTCCATGCCCTTTTTTCCAGAACACCACTGGGCCGTGCCCGGGCCTGGTTACGGTTAGCACTAATGCAGAAGAAAATGGCCGACTATCTTCGCTGTTTAATCATCCAGAGAGATCTTCTCAGGTAAACAATTGAGTAGATTTTGTTTGTAATTGATTTTTAGTGGTTTAGTCTCTGGAAAAAAAACTTAGTATTTTCTATTTGCTACTTTTTAATATACTCTTAGTGTAGCCGGGTGCAGCTTCTGGGCTGTGGGCTGATTCTTCCAGTCCTGAGGGTAGAGGGACCAGACCCTGCTGCCTCATCAGGATGGAGAGCCAGCTGATGGGCAAAGAGATCTTTTCTCGCCGTCATGTCTGCGGGCCTTTTGCACCGTGCCCGACTGTTCTTTGGTAATGAGGGGGATGGGGAAGGGCTCCCGCTACATTCCTCCACCTTGCAGAATACAGCCTCGAAAGCTGTGGAGAGGAGATGAGTTCACCTCTATGATGGTTTCCTGCTAGGCTACCATTGCATGGGGGGCTTCTGCCTTGAACTTGCCTTTCCTTTCACAGTTCTGAAACTGGCATTGCTCTCTTCTGTCCTTTCTGATGGAACAGATGAAGCACAAAGGGAAAAAACCCTTATCTTAATTTCAGTTCTTCAACCTGTACCTATTTTTCAGACTTTTCTTGTATGCCTAGCTAATGGTGGTTTGTCGGGATGACACTGGTGTTCAGCAGCTGTGGACTTTCCCACTGAAAGCACAGTTTGTTTCATGGAGTCTGAAATATTTTAAAAATGCAAGGAGGCGGAAGTGAATGTTGGTGTTCCGTTGTTTAGTGCTAGTTACACTAACCCCAAACCCTTACCCTCACCCCTTTTCTTTTAAAAGCCTTTCTGGCGTTTCAGCCCTTACTGTGTCTCTTCTTACCCATTTCATCTCTTTCTTTGTTTCTTTAATTTCAAGCCTGTGTTCCTTGAAGTCCAGACCGTTTTTCATGCAACTTAACTTTTTAACCATTTTTCTTTGCGTTCTTTAACGTTTCTTCACAACGTAAGAACTGCCAGGCTCAGTGTGGCCAAACATCCATCTGTTGCTGAATCCTATTCAAAAGTGGCTAATAGCAAGTGTATAGGGAAGAGCTTTTTTTTTTTGTTTTAAGGCAAAATAAGTCTCGACCCCAAATTTCCTAGCCCTCCAGCAGCTTGGGGCTCAGATTTCGGGAGGCAAAAGCAGCGCCTTGGTTTTTGATGGTCTCTGAGACAAAGCATATGCACTTTCAATTTTTAAATAAAATTACTAGGTGGAAGTATGGGCAGACCCAGTTCATCTTTAAGTTGAAGTTACGTTAAAATAAGAGGAAACAATTCAGATTTAGATGTCACTTCTTATTTATTTATTGCATGTAAATATACTGAATATAACAATGAGATGCAATTTTCTTCTTGAACAGTGAATTTTACGAGTATCATGCACTGATGATGGAGGAAGAAGGAGCAGTTATTGTTGGGCTATTGGTTGGGCTCAATGTGATAGACGCTAACCTGTGTGTGAAGGGAGAAGACCTAGATTCACAAGTAAGTCAGTACAGGTGAAGTAACGTACGTGCAATCCATAGGACTTTTATGTACGGTGAATTTTGTTTCTGTGAATTGTGACTTGTTAGAAATCTGACTAGAGACTGTTTAGGGCGTGATCCAGCTCCTGGGTCAGTGGGGGTACGGCATTAACCTCGGTTATCAGTTGGGTCAGCCCTTCAGATGTGATAAACATCAGAGCGCAACAGTCAAGTTTCATGCTTCATCAGATGGATGCAACAGCAGCATTGCAGAGTTCTATCTTAATTGCATAACTCAGACTTTTCCTCTGTGGGAGAAGTATAGTTCCATGATCAGTTTATTCCATTTGTTTAATTTACTATTGTTCTGGAACATAATAGGAATGCTTCAAGGGCCTGAAACAAAACTTGCTTTGCATAGTGTAACAGAAGACCTTGTATGAGGGTGACTGCTTTCAGTCTGCAAAACAAGACTTAGAACTTTCCCCTTCTTTGCAGAGTACTTGGCCTTTGATCTTTTCCAAGAAAATCTTGATGGATTCCTTTTAAAGGCAGATACACAAGTATTTATAAATAAATGTAGGCTGTGTTCCGTCCTTTTTTTCAGTTGCTTTGTGGAAAAAACTGGTGATTGTTTAAGTGATTATTATTGTATTTCAGCTTGTATTTGGTGAAAAAGCAATGTCTATGGCAAAAAAAGTTATAGCTAATTTGGGTGTGTGTGCTGTTGAATCAAAGGGAAAACTTGTCTTGGATTGTTCGTTCTAGTTACTATCTGATGTTTTAGGCACTGCTCTTGCGTACCAGAAGACATAACGTTGAAAGGCCTGTAATTATGGCAAACTTATCAGCGTGCTCCTCCTAATAGTGAGAATTACATGTGTGCGTTATAAATCTCAACATCTATTGCTGGCTACACATTCGTTATCTGGGTCACTGGGTGGCTTTGCTGCTTGAGGGGGGATAAAACTTGATTTGAGAAGGCAGTAGTGGCTGTGACCATGAGCTTAGAGTAATTCTGTTTGTTAATAAGCAGAACATGTTTTTTAAAAAGCTTTTGGGTAAGAGGCTTTTCTACAAAGATGCAGAAAGAACAAGTAGATCATCATAAGAAACTGACAGAGGAGGGTATTGTATAAACCAAGGAAATGTTAAGCTTAACAAGTCACTTTTATTCAAAAGCTAAAGGGAGCTGAAGACTGGAAGCAGTAGTTCAGAGAAATTGAAACACTTGCGTGAAGAGGCTGCTAGAGACCAAAAAGGAAGGGTTTTGGTAAAGCAAAGGTGGTTAAATACTTTTGTTAGAGGTTTGTGAATAGAGTTGGAAGCAGAACTTATGGTAATGTTGCTGATGGTGTGTATGATAAAATTACAGTTGAATAGAAAATAAATTAATTGGATTCAGATTTAGCAAGGTTTACAAAAACTGAATGGACTTGAGTTGGCACACCTTGGGGAATCAGCAGGTCTGGAAAGGTAGTGTTACATTTGGCAAGGAATATTGGAAAACTAAACATGAGGGAAACCTCAGCTTGGGACATGTGCTGTGACAGAAAAAGGTGTGCAACACTTGAGACAAATTATCACAAGTCTGCTCCATCAGGGGTAGGGTTGAGGAGTATCTGATAACCACCCAGATGAAAATCTTCCTGTAAATTCTTGGCTAAGCTCAGCCAGAGGTAAGAAGTCATCTTTTCTTTGGGATTTGGTACATGGCACACTGTTAATTTTGTTCAAAGGTAACACAGTTCTTAACAGATATGTGAGACTACACTTGAAAAAAATCAATCTTGTTTAAAATGCTACAGTTAATTTTTTTGAGCTTCTGGCTGAAACTGGACCTGTCTTAAAAAAGCTGGTGTGACTGAGGTGGTAGTAGTTATGTGGATAGATAGGAGACAGGGAATATCAACAGCAGTTATTTGTATGATACGAAACGTGTGAATTCGCTTTCCTCTAGGTTGGGGTGATCGATTTCTCGATGTATTTGAAGAGCGATGATGACATTGGTGGTAAGGAGAGGTATGTCCTCACTAAATACTTTGGGTTTTGCACGCTAATAAATAGTTTCTTGACTGCTGCCCTGTTGTTTGTAGAAATAAGTCAGGTTCCCTAAAGATGAAGTTGCCTTACCTCGCTGTCTTGAGAAGAACGGCATGCTGTGTGGCTCTGTACTGCGAGTTAGCTGGAGGAACGCTTGCGCTCTGAAGCGAGCCTCGGCAACATCGACTGCTTCCTTTATCCGACGGGCACTACTGAAGGACTGCGAGGAGGCAGTGGAAAAGAGCCTGCTGACCTTTAAGGCTTTGGCTTGGGATTTAGACAGTATTTCAAAGAACTAGAGTTGTGGCAGAGTAAAATAAACAGCCTTTTTCTTTTGAGGCTGGGTATGTTCTTACATTTCATGCAGAGAAATTGGTTTCAGTGAAAGCGTTGAGGTTTTTTGTCTCACTCATGCCACAACATCTAAGCTACTGACTTCATGATTGTGAGATGTTGTTTCCTTTTCTTTAAAAAAAGCACAATTAAGGTGGCCATTTGCATATGATACATATGTATATTTTCAGTACATAGTTCACTGCATCATTTTGTTAAAGCTAATTTTATTATGTGCTTGCTTTAGAAATGTACAGATTGCTGCAATTTTGGACCAAAAGAATTATGTTGAAGAACTGAACAGGCAACTGAAGTAAGTATAACTTTAAGGTCTGCACGTCAGTCCCGGCTCACAGGTGCAACCTCTCTGCTTCCTTTAGTACCACAGCTTTGTGAGAGAGAACTTCAGAGAAAGGGGTGCAAATTCTTTAGGGTCAGACTGAGGATGTGGTGAAGTTGGAAAGGATACACTCTTCTGGAGAGACCTGGGAAGTCTCAGTTTTGGTTTTGACAGCCAGAACCTTTGTTCTTCAAATAAAGGAAAAAAGCAGGTGAAAACTATCAAGGTCCTTACAGTTTATAACTTCACAAAAATGAAAAGCTCGATCTGGATTTTCACTTCATTCTATTTAGCAGTTTTCAGAAAGGTCCAGTTCATAGAATCCTAGAATGGTTTGGGTTGGAAGGGACCTTAAAGACTCTCCGGTTCCAACCCCCCTGCCATGGGCAGGGACACCTTCCACTAGACCAGGTTGCTCCAAGCCTGGTCCAGCCTGGCTTTGAAGACATTTATTGGAGTGTTCTGGGCGTATCCACATGGCCTTGTTTCTTTGCCTTTCATAACATTTTAGTTTGTAGCTTTAATGTCCAGGACCAAAACTGAACGGGTTCATTGCTTGTGGGAAGCTACTTGCACGTCGTAGGCTGGGGTTTCAGGAAAGCAGCCTTTCCCCCTGGCTTTGCTGGATGGAGCAAACCTAATCCACCGCCTTGTGTCTTACTGTACAAGAGGAGGAACAGTGATTGTAATTCTCCGAGGAGTATTGTACAAAATTCAAACTGTCTGAGGAGCTGAAGAAGACAAACAAAGCAAACCCCTAAAACAACAAATCTAGAAAAACCTTCTGTAGGATCTGTAGTATAGTGGATCTTCCTGATCCCTTTCTGAAATGGCATCGTGTTTTTTCACTTTTAATGCTGGTAATCTTGACTGTTAGTTATTATATGGCTGCTGTTGGGGTAAAGATATTCTGGTTTGGCACTGTCAGTCACTGAGCAGAAACCTTCAACAGGACTGAATAATTAAGTGTGTCAAATAGGAGCAAAATGAAAGTAAGTTGAGGAGGAGAAAGGAACTATGACAAGAACAGTGGAGATGGTGTGATGATAGCTGTTCCTATTCAGGTGAGCCCCTGCGTATTATGTTCGTGTCCACTGTTTTTGCATGAAATTACTTGGAAACCAGTGGTTCAGCA